TCAGGGTATGATGCAAAGTGCTCCCTCTTTAACCAAGCTTATTTTGAAAGGGAAGTGTAATATAAGTTAGTATTTCTTGACACAGCAACACATTTAGGTTCCCATTTGGTTAGCTAGCTATTTTAGTTACTTGTTTCTGACACATTACCACTCCACTCTAGCTTCTGTGCTACTGTGTTTTCCTCATGGTCAAGAGGTACTCATTAAAAAAAGGATTGTAAGGAAATAAGAAGTTGAAATGAAACATGCCTATAGCTTACAAGAATTATTTTTTGCTGACAAAATTATCAAAGTTTCCTAGAAAACATGTGGAAAAGCACTGATTCTACTCTATTTTTTTAGCAGATTTTTAAAGACGTCTTCAAGAAAAAAAATCCCTCAGTGCTTAATGTAGGAATATAGTATTTCTTCTTTCTGTCAGTTGTCTGTGAACAGTGCTGCAGAGTGGACAGTACGTCACGGGCATGTCTATCCACTAGAGGTTCTGGACCCGACAGGGAGCAAATCCTACTATTATCAAACAACCCCATACACGCATGTTGCATCTTCAATGCACCGAATGTCTGCAGGCACGCTGACAGGTCTCAAAACAATCAGCTTCCTCAAAGCTTACTCGGGCCACAAGTTTCCACAGGTTTATCTTCAAGTCTCTACAGACCACCAGCTGTAAGTCTTTGTAGCATTTTTGGCAAGGAAAGATGGCAGTTCATCTATGTTCATCATGAAGTTCATCATCTACGTTTCACTTGAAGTATCATCTTCAAGTGAAAATGATTTGTGGGTTCCTTCTCCACCTCCCACCAAGAGAAATACAGTTATTCTGGTGACATCAAATAACACCCTTTCCTTTCTTTATATACACTCTTAAGGCAAATTAAATTATTCATGTACCATACCATTACTTGGTATCAGCTCCATGTCCCAAGGACTCATCTTCTCGGTATCCCCATTGTCCCAGCTTAAAAATAACCACATTAAAATTACCTACTAATAATGCTTAAACAATGTAATTAGTTAATATTTTTAAGATAACGTGTTTATATACTATCAAGCTTTTTAATAAACTAGTACAGTGAGATGCATGACTGAATTTAATGAAAGCACGTTGCTTCAATCAGGACTTGAAATGAAATATCGAATTAAAATAAAAGATCGAAGATAAGTTTGCTAACCAGACATTGTAGCACTGAAACAAGCTATCAGGATAATCAGGCTGAAGAGGTTCCTGGCTTTCAATTGTTCCAAACCACCACGCATCATCTATTACTGACCTGAAACGATCACCTAGGTAAAAACACAAAATAATTTAATCAATTCAAGGCACCTTACTCCTCCCAACAAAAGCAGTTTTTAGACACCTTTGAATTGATCTCGAAAACACAAACCCCCTGAAACACTTGCATCAACAGGCACAGATGACTCATAACTGAATTTTTTTTTAAATAGTTCTAGTAAATTCTTTCTGAAGGCTTTTTTAAAACTACAATGAAACAGTTAATTACTAACATAAAAATGATTAATGACTTGCAAATCTATCCACATAACCTTTGTATATGAATTTACTTCTTAAATGCATATAAAGGTAAGACATTTCAATGCTGTAACTCCTTTAAAACTAAAATCTACTCGTATTACACACTACACGCTACCTTTAAATAACTGCATTTTATGACATTTCTGTATGGGGAATACTTATCCATGCTACTGAACTCTTGCTGGGTTTGCGATGTGTTTTTATCTACTTGTATAAACAACTCTCCCTAATTTAACTCAAAGGTTCATTCCCTTTACTGCACGGGTGATATGACTAATAAAAGATTTATTTAAGCTTCTTTAAAAGGTTAGCAGTCATTTACTATAATCTGAAACAGTTTCATAAAAGCATTCATACAGCTAAGAAAAAAAGATGAAAAGCACATTAGAGAAAAAAAATTACATGCCAAAATAACACCATCATCATCCATTTCTAACATCTTCCATAATACAGGCCACAGAATTTAGAAATAATCTTTTAGTTAAGTATTCAGTTCATTCAATCCAAAACCAAACGTAATTTAAATCTGAGATTTCAAGAACTGTACTTTTTTTTTTTTTTAAACGGAATTTGAAGAATATACGCACACTTTTCAACTGCTGTGATGTTTGTTCTATTTCTGTATACCCACATGAAGGGAAAAAAACATTCTGCCCAAATGCCTGCTGCAGATGCCCGAAGTATTAGCAATTATATACAAAATCATATCTCAAAAATGCTCCTCTTTCCTTCCTGCACAATTTTTTTTTTTAATTTAACAGATTGCAAGTAATTCTAGGAGAAATACAAAGCTTTCATCAATAGTCCAAATTGTGCTGAAGGTAATAGAACAAAGTATTTCACATATGAAATATCTGAAACTTAAGATCCAAAATGTAAATAAGGGTTTGTGCTTTATTTATTTTAAAGGAATAAACCATTTTTAAGAGCTCTTAAGGAAAAGTCTCCTATCGTGGCATTCCCTAGCGATCAGTTTTACAAAAACGTGTGTAGGTACAGTTACAAGCACCTTCGTAAAGCTGAACATTAAGCGGTTCAAAACTGCTTAAAGGACAGTACCCAGGCAGCTGCCCCAAGTGTCTCATGAGTTCCTATGGACAGGATGCTTAAGCGTTAAGGAAACGTGGCTGAAAATTCTCACGGAACCACACGCTCATTCCACACTGTGACAAAACAGTACAGGATTCCTTCAAGGAACGTTAAGCATGCACCAGTAAAATATCCAAAATGTCAGTGTAGACACCATGGTAGTACTTCAGACGATTGCTGGAAGCGCTGTAATAGTTTTAACAGCAGTGCCTCTACCACCTCTACTTCAGCATTTCATGTGGTTTCACAAAAGGAGAAATCACATCTTACCACTATTTCCACTACTGAGAAGTGGAACTGTAGAATGAGCTTTTACACACAGCTGTCAGCGTTACAAGCTACTGGCCTGAAACTTGCCTTATTTACACTGAAGGCTTGATAAAAGGCTCTGGCTCTCAATACCTTGCTGTGTAGCTCTGATTCTTTCCACACCTCCAAGTTTCTGGAAGTATGCTTCCAGCCCAGAATGGAGATGCCATCTGTGCTCCTACTAGCATTAAGAGTAGGAAGAGTGACACTGTCAAGCCCCTCCATACTTCCTGGATTTCTGACACGACTTCAGGCTAGGCTGTTCACATATGAGGTGTAGCGGTCACCCTTCCACTGCTGCATTTATGCTCGTGGGCAAGCACGTATATGGGGTGGTAGGCAGAGAAGACCACCACAGCAAGAAAACATAAACAGCAAGAAAAACAGCAAGGCATAGTGAGGGCTTGGTAGATGCTGACTAAGCTTGTCTCTCAACAGATCTTTAAACTAAAATGACCTTTAAAGGAGAAATCAGGTTTATTTGTACAGATCTGCAAGCCTCGAATCGTTACCCCATTGTATATGGAGTCGAAAACCAAGGGTCTTTTCAGGCAAGATCATGAAAAATATGAGATATGAAATATCTCATATTTGGAAATTATTAATATGGTGTTATATAATTTATACACATGTAGTTTAGGCACACATCCTGAGTTAATGAAGGATATAATGACATGCAAAGGACAGGTGATCAATCCATCTTTCCTGGCAAACATATCTGATAGGAAATATAAAAAGCTTTTAACATCCAGCTGAGCCGCTTACTCAGTTTACTTAGCTTCAGTGAACTCAGGAGATAGGATATACCTTCAGAAAGGAAATGGCCAGACTAAGGTGGCAGAGTATTTGTGGAAAGATATGCCTGCTCAGGAACAACTGATAAAATAATGAGATACACCAACATGATGTTAGGCTGAAATCCTCTGTTGTCCTACACAATGCTTTGTTTGAAACGTTAAGATAAAAAAAGATAGAAAAATGCTACCAAGTCAGCTCTGTTAGATGCTAACCACAGCTCCTGAACTGAAGAATTCAATCAGGAATTGGGGAACAGGAACTGAGCTTATAAAGTAATCACTGCAAGTTTACAAAAACGTGTAACATTGAGACCTAGCTTAAAATGGGAGACTATCAATATTTCACTTGCAGAGCATGTCACTTCACAGAATATACCGAGATACTAGAGAGGACTTAGAAGTGCCAATATGTTTATAAATATGGTATCAAACAGACTTCTGTCTTAGGGGAAACAGTGGCTAACCATTCTGAACTCTGAAGAGTCAGTAATACTTGTTTAAGTTTCACAGTCCATCTCAGGCTGTTCTTAGAAATGAGAACATACGTACTTATCTCATGAAAAAAAATTTAGAGAATAATTTTGTTACAATGAAGCTTTCACTTCCCCTCCTAAGAGTTCATTGTTAAAAGGTGGTCTTTTCCATTGCACAGAAAAGATGACTAGGAAATAGATCCAACTGCAGGACATGCCTCCAATACTTTGCAATAACTATGCAGAGAAAGAGAACAAACCGACAATATGCCCCTATCACGCAGTACTAAATTATAATTATATACACTTTAATGACACTACACCAGATGGAGCTGAGAAAGCAATTCAAATGAGTGGTAAGAGATGGGAAGGGCATATTCTTTATGCAACCTAGGGCTCATAAATTTCAAATGGCTGAAAAGATGATTCTGTATTTCCACAAACGAGCAGGTCTGAAGAAATTAAAGACATTTTTTGTAGCAGCGATCTAGTCATAAAAGGCCCTTCAAATTAAACAAGAGAGGCAAGCAATACATAGAATACAATAAACCATCAGTTGCCAGTAAACACCATATTTTAAAAAAAGTATATTCTTAATTCCTCCCTACAATCATATAATAGATTTTCTTTGCACTCATTTTCTTTTACAAACCACCATGGATACTTTGTTTGCTTGCTCGTAAGCTTCAGTTTAAAGGCAAAGTGAGACTCCGTATCTAAGTATGGGTAGAGCTTTTCCTCCAATTCCAGCACAGTATTTCAGATTCATTTACCACCACAACCCAATTTTGCAGTAAGTTATCATGAAAATAGGGACTTTTTTTTTTTTCTTTTTTTAAATCTCATCACATACCTATATTCCATCGCCTGTGTTTTGCATCATCAAACTGCTGCCTCAAGACTAGGAAATCTATGACATCAGGCATATCGTGGTACCTAATTACAACAGAGGACAGGACTAGTAAGTGTTAAAATAGCAAAAGCATCCAGAAAAGATAATTTAATAATTATATTATTGATTTAACACCCTTGAATACAACACTTGAAAAGTAAAAACTTAAGACACCTCATTACTGGTATCTTTAAATTACAAAAATTACAAAAATCCTCTCTCAATTTGAATACAATAGTGCTTCCCTTACTTCATGGTGAATGATCCTCCAGTCAGTTTACCCGTATCTGGGTCAAGAAAAGCTAGTTTAAGACAGCAGAGAGTTGGCAAACCCACTTCATACTTAATGCCAACTATTTTCATCAGCTCTTGCTCCTGAAACAAACAAAATGTTATGCAGCACTGCTGAAGTTAAGACGATTACTCTCTGGAACACGAAAGTATTAGTGTACTGAGAACATTAGACTTCCATCAGACCATGCCAAAACCAATTTATTTTTTCAAACCAAGAAACTGTTTTCCAACATGACACCTTTAAAAACAGTTCGCTGTGAGTTATAAATATAGTATTAATCAAATACAGTGTTATACTGATACTTGCTCATCAGATCGAAGAAAACATACAGCTTAATGTCTGAATTCCTTTGACTATTAGTTAACTTTTCCCCCTTAAATACATCTTAATATTTTAAGAGTATAATGTTAAAAGCATCGCTATCAAGAATCTTCTTCCATTTAGTTTCCAAATTTTTTTAAATATCAAGCCACCAAACAAAACGCAAAAAAGTCATACCCGTAACTCCATTTTATGCCATGGTTGTTTTTTGGGGTTAATACTATATATTTTGTTCTTCTTTGCCATCACAACATATGCCTCATGACCTTGTCGGAAATAGTAGACCTAAGAGTGAAATGTAACAGTTAGCTAACCAAAACTCTGAGGAGTCAGACTGCCAGCATATTGTTGCCATACAATGCACTTACTCTCTTTTACCATTGCATTTTTGCTCTTTGTTTTTTCTGCTTAAATCACAGGCCCTCAAAAATTAAATGGTGGACAGTTTTAGAATAAATTTATATAAATAAATCCACTAATGTTTGTCTTTCCACAAGCTTTGCAAATTCTTGCAACGCTATTAAAAAAAAAAAAAAAAAAAGCATCTCCCAAGTTTCTATATTTACAGTTATTGAACTTTCTTAATGTCATGTAGCAATTTTTTAAAATGGAAAAAGACTCTACAGCCAAAAATTTTAAACTCTTTTTCCAGAGTATTTGACACACACAATATCCTCCTAGGAAGAAAGGGCAAAGTAGTTACAAAAGGCATGAAAGCTGTGAGAATCTACTATATACTTTAACAATCTAACTGACAGAAAAAGGAAAAGAGGCTACTGAACGACAGATCTAGAACAGTATCAATTTAAATTCCACTTTCAACATCGTGGCAATTCTTTCCCATAAAAACACATCTTCAAATAGATGAAGACAAAAACCTCAGTTTAGTTGCATGGGCTACAATTCCTTCTATATTTACTGACCGCTCCTGCTAAACATCTTCCTAAATTAAATCCACTCTTTACAAAAGTGAAATAGTTTTATTTTGTAAGCGGCTACAAGCACTGCACCTTCCTTCAGAACAACTAATTGCAAGAATACCTGGGGAAAAAGAACCAATGTCTTTTTCCAGGAAATTGTATTTTTAATATTGGTAAATTTCTGCTTCTGCGCAATTTGCTGTAGTACTCAGACTAAGTATTCTTTACTATGTTAACTGCAAAACACTACAATGCATGTTTACTCTCTTTGGACAAGCATGCATGCAAATGGCAGTCTCGTCTCTTTGGTCTGATTCCACTGCTCCTCAAGACACAAAGGGCTGTAAATGTCAGTAATCAGAAAGGGAAGAATGGTGGCTGTGTGTTATTCTTACACACCATGTACAACTATAGGACTACTGCTGTTTCCCTACTGTTTGCACAGCGGTAAGAAAAGAAGTCTGAAATATCTCTCTCCTCCCAAATCTTGTAGAACATATTAACCATTCCACCGAAATGTTCAAAGGCCACATGAGATCTCTTCTCTCATCATATTCCTCTACTTCAGCATATCTTTTACCTCTGTGGATCTCAAAAGCAGCTTTTTCGAGATGAACAGCTTATGGCATCTCAAACAAATCTGGGAAGGGCAAGTCATCAGCAACGGGGTTTTGGACTAAGCAGCTTGATTATAAATGTACTTTACTGGTGCAACCACGCCTGCTTTCTAGGTATAGGACAGAAAATTTCCTGTTTACCGATATGAAGCTTTTTTCCAGCAAAAGATCGCAGCCTACTTAAACGATCGCAGCCTACTTGTACGTGGCACACAAGTTATTCAATGGGTGCCAGCCCAAACATGGGAGTTAATCTTACTAAGATTTTAAAGGATATGATCCTGGGTAGTAAGGTACAGATAAATCCTTGCCTGCTTCACAATACTCACACGGTATCAGGGACTCAACATGTTCATTTGGCCTTGATATTGTGAACAGCACAGCCTCCAGAACATGCTTGCTGGAGGGTATAATTACACAAACATTTTATCCAGTTGCAACACTGACTTGAAATGTTACTGCCCTCCCTCGCTAGGGAGGTCAGCGCAATTTTTGTGTAGCTATGCTGTGAATGGGATCAGTGAAGTAACGTAGTAAAAACAAAAGCAAAACTGCCTGCACGTGCAACCACTGCTCCCGACACAGTTTCTACAGTGACACCTACAAACATCTGCACCTCAGGAGCAGATGCATCTTTAATCAACTTTGTCACCAAGTCAGGTATTCCTCTAACTGCATTCTGAGGATGTGAGGTATCGAAAAACTCTGCTTGGTACCTCTGAAACGCACAGCTCCCTGAAGAGCCAACAAATTACACGTTACAGCATAAGACAACTATTCCCTTTTATTTTAACTTGAGGGAATTTAGGAAACATGCATAGACTCTGCTTTTCAAGACTGTCTTCTATCTGATATTACTTATTCATGAAATTCACTGTACTGTCCATATTTTATACATTCAAAAGCAGCGACTGCTGTGTGTCCTCTTGCCACTTTATTGTGAGACTTTTGTACCACGTTTGGCTGGCATATAATAAATATAGACACACTTATCTTGTGGTTCTGTGCGTCAAGAAAATAACAGAAGTTTTCTGAAGTCAGAAATGTAAGTGAAAAGAAAAGAGTTTCTCTTCAGAATAAATGAGGTTTTTAAAAATACCATTTCCTCCACATTCTTCTAAAAATATAAGGTTTAATTCCAGGATTTTACTTCAAGTCCCAAAGAGAAGTCTTTCAAATAATACCTAAATTTTTATTAGACTTCTTACATATTCTTCAGCATACAAGATCCCCTAAAAGAAAGGATTCATTTCACTAGATAAAGCATCTCATGATTAACAGTTTGCATAAGCATATTATAGGGAAAGTAACACTGAACACAGCACAGTAAGGAAGATTCCTGTAACAGCATAGGAAAAAAAAAAACAGTCAGATACAGCACTATGTGCAGAATCTTTAAAGGATGGAAAAGACTAATGGGAGTGCTGAGAAAAATTCCTGTTTAAAATGAAAGTAAAACTGGCTTGATCAAAGGACGTTGTAAAAGCAATTCAAAATATTCTGATGATAAATGATATTAAACCTCTGCAAAAAGTATGTGGATGAAACTTAAAAAAAGGTCAGAACACGCTAAAAGAAGCGAGAATAGGGAGGAAAAAATACAATACCTCATCCCCCATCTGTGGTACAAACGGGCACCGACGAGGAACAGTATCTGTAATCCATGCTGAAGGCAGCCACTCTTCCAGCGTCAAACCATTTTCTGCCAAAACTCCTACAGCCAGCCTCTGAAGAAAAGGTACAGAAAAAAAGTGAATAAAACTATCATTTGTGGAAGTGTCACGTTTTGGTGAGTACTCTGTTAAAAGCAATTGCTATTTCTTAAAGATGTTTTAATGTAAAAAGGAAAGTATCATAAACATAAAGATAAGTCTTCCTTAACAACTTTCAATAATACAAAAACAAAAAAAAGTTAATTTTCTGAAGAACTTCTTAAAAGTTTTTTTCTCTTTTTTACAACCTCTTGCAACACATGAAGCCTGTATTTGTAAAGGCTCCATTAACAACATGGCTGATGCCCCAAAAGATAGAACTGAAACAGGCCATGCTCTTTAACCAATTGCACAAAGACTTTAAAAGGCAATAAAAAATGCTAAATCTGAACTCAAAAGTGGCATGCAGACTTTAATTTGAACCTTTTTTGTACTGAAACAGTCCTATAATCACAATTTTGCATTCAGAAATAAAATTCAGGAGGCACACAAAACAGATTGAACAGTTACCCTTCTTATCATTTGTCCCTGTTAAAGGTATGTCTCAAATCACCATCCCTCACAGAGGACAATCAATCAATAAACAAACAACTTAGGAGAACCAAAAATCATTTTTCATCAGGCTGGATCTAACCTACAAGTTGATATATTTCAAGCCAGAAAAAGGGTTCTTTCTCCTTAGTCCAGGTGTTAAGCTACACTACGTGATGGGTTCCAACACCAGAAGGGCCAAACAATATAAGGCAATGCCAAGCTGTGGAAACCAAAAGGCCAACTTGCAAAGTTAGCTGGGCCCACAAGACACTACAACTAGGCAGCTGCTCCCAATTAAGAAGCCCTGCAAAACGAGCAGGAGGAGATTAATGAACACAAACAGAGGTAAAGCACGTGGAAAGGGCCTGGACTGCAGTAAGAATCTGGCTACTTTAATATGCATGTGTACATCTGCATTACCAACTGGCATAGGCAGTATAATCTGTTGTGGGACTTTAAAGCATCAAAAGAGAACCTCTCCACAACTTCACATTAATCATCAATTTAAGGCCCTCCTGAAGTCAAGCCTGAACTTAGACCCTTCCATTTAATCAGGAAGAGACTAGTCCCAGTGAATTTGTCTCATTTCCAAAACCTTACGACACCCTTTAGCATCTAGTTTTACAACGTGATTCCATGTTCAGCTGGTTTGGGTTTTTTGAGTTTTTTGTTTGTTTGTTTTGGGGTGGTGATTCTTTTTTTGAGCTTGATGTCTCAATGTCCTTGGATGTCTCACAGTGCCAGAGTAACAAAAGAAATGATTCTGTATTTAACCATTTCTAAACCATTCGTAGTTTTATAAAAACTTTTTATCATACTCCCCCCTCATCCCAAAATCTCTCTTCTAAGCAAGAAAGTTGGTCTGTTCTGTCTGTCCCCATGCAGAAGAACTCCCTGTACCCTTTGATCTTCTCCCGCCCTTCTTCACTTTTATATCCTGTTTTTGATCGATTTTCGGTGGAGAAGAATTAGAAATATAAGCACTCTTCAAGATCTGGGCAGTCTATGCGTTTACAGAGAAGGATGATGTTCTTCCTCTGCTCCTTAATTCCCAATATTCTGTGTGCCTGCCTATGGAGACTCTCAAGACCTCTTTCCTCAGTAAGACCTAATTTGGATTCAGTTTCAGAAAACAGGAAGAACTTGTTACCAGTCAGGACAATGAGCTCTCTGAATAACCCTCCCAGTAAGGCAGCAGAACCTCTACCACAGGAGACTTCCAAGACAAGCACCTATCAGGAATGACAGGTATAAGTAATCCTATCTAGGGGAAGGGGGATAGAGAGATAATCTTATGATACTCCTGCCAACCTAGCATATTCTTCTCATTCTAGAATGCTAGAATTCTAGATCATTAAAAATCCGAAATATACTAAGTCAAGATGTTTTTGGAATCAAAGACCTCCTACATCCAGATAACTGGGATCAAAACGGATGTAAGCCTTCATACAGTTCAGCCTTTATTTAAGTGGAAATATTAGGCAGTCATCCAGTCTTATCTATTATAATAAAGGCTAAACTAAAGGCTTCACCCATTAAAAAACAACAACAACAACAACAACAACAACAAACCCACACAGTTTTCCCCACTTAATAGCTTTTTATGATTTCAGGCCATATAAATACCAAGATATTATTAACAACTGCATTACAACCAATGACTGCACCCCAAAAACACAAATTAGCCTAATCAAAGTGTAAAAATTGCCACCTAACATCCTGCACTTCTTAGCAAAGATTCGCATTACAGCCCATATTACACCAACCTGCATCTTAAAACAGCTCTTTTTATCAGCCTACCTTCTCCAATGTGGTAGAAGGTAGGGACAAAACCTTCTAATGTGGGACAAAACGCTGAAATGGTCATTCTAAGGAATGGTGAGAACTCCTAATTTTATAAATAACAGTTATTTAGTTGCTTAGCTGATGCAGTTGGTTTCCTTAGATATTGTAAAAATCAAAGCTATAAGCTTGTGAAAGCCATTAGCATCTACCAAATATATCGATCGTATCTGGTCTCTGTGAAGAAAGAATGAAGAAATCAAGTTTACTGCATCTAACATCTACTGCACAAAAAAACCACCAAGAACAACAAAAGCCACTGAAAATTTTCACACAGTGCACCAAACAGGAATGGCGTGACTACGTTAGAAAACAAGTAAAAGTCAATCAAATAATAATAAAAGCCTGATCAAGTGAAATTCCTCTTGATGTTGTGATAAGCACAGTGCAAGCAGCCTACACCATGGAATTCGTAAAAGAAATCATATGGTTGTGCAAACCTAAAATAAATTGTAATTAACTGTTCAGCTGAGATGTTCAGCTGAAAAGATACAGACACACGTTACATCAACACTCAATATACCTGTAGAAAGGAAGTTTCTGGTCTGAAATAATATGGTGTTAAGGATATTTAAAATGTTCCTTAAAGTGAAACGCCTCAAATTTAGAAAGGATGTCATTACAGCAATCCATCATTTGACTTACAAGAGGCAGTAATTATCATTAACATTAATTACTTGTAAAAGTCAAGATGTGTTTGCAAATTAGATAATATTAAATTGTACACATAACTGAATCCGTCATTTGATTCCTTTTATGACAGTACAAATACGCATCCAGTGATCTGCAAAGTACATCTTGATACCTTCTGTTTTCTCTCTTTGGGTTTCCTCTTCTTTGGTGATGATGTTGGTCCGTCTTTCTCCTCGTTCCCTTTTTTTCTTTCTTTCTTAATTTGCTTCTTTTGTTTTTCAGGTCCTTCTTCATCCTCTGAACTACTTTCAGCTTTCTTTGTTTTGAGTTTAGGAATTTTCTTTGGTGGTTGCAGATTGATCCCTGCATCTGCTGTCCAGTCAGAATAATCACTGGAATAGTCACTAGGGACGGAATGCCAAAGTAAAAATAAAGTTAAGAAACAACACGTAAAAAGGAATTCAGAGTGTCACAGCTTATATAATAGAACCTAAGGTGAGATTGTTAGAGTTAATGGTCTAGATAACTACAATATTTTAAATGTTAGAAAGCAGTGTCTAAAATCCTATACTCTAATTTAAGCAGTAGTAAACTAAGACTGAATCATTTTAAGGTTTTTGTAAGAAGCTCAGCTTCTGGCATCACTGACAATGAATGGATATTGTTCTCGGGATTCCTGGTTTTGAACACCTTTAAATGGAAGTTAACAAAAAAACCTAAGGTTCAACGGGTCGCACCTGATCCACCTTACTTCTTTATTTTTAAGAAGAAATAAAGGATGGGTAAAGCTGTCTCCATCTTTGCTCTCTAATTGCAAACCAAGAGTCAGCAGAGGCACTCGCACAGCTCAGACTGATAGTCACAGCTATCTGCTATCGCGTGCCTGAAACGTGCATGTGCCTGCAAAGAATAACTCTCCCGCAAAAACCAACATGAAATACTTCCGCTGGCAAACAAAGATGAAATGTTTCCTAACTTTTAGTTAGCCAATAACACAACTGAAAAGGAAATCCTGAAAGTTTTAAATTCTTTGCCATCTGTTCCTCTAAATGCCCACAAGCGTTTATTATTCCTAATTAACTGTTTACAGAGAAGAAGATAAGGTTCTTAAAAATTCAAAGTAAGATTTTTTTCTTCTGTAAGATATACTGTTACTTACCTAGAGCTGCCATCACTGTGCCATGCTCTTTCATCATCTTCTGATGTTCCACCACTGGCAACAACTACTTCTCCTTCCTAACAGGGGAAAAAAAAAAAAAGTAGCATTTTCCTCAGAAAAATAATAATACATGACAATATGACTAATAGCCTTCCAGCTCTCTGTATACATTATTAACATAAAGCATTAGAAGTTTTGCACTGTTGAAAATTATTTTAATTTGCATATTATTTCATTTAGTTGACTGATTTAAATGAAAGCAAAATAAAAAAGAAAATGCATCTGGAGCGATGCATGGTGTAGAGCAACATTTCTTAACATACAGCCCAAAGAATCCTGTCTGCTTCGGAAACTCCATGAGAACGGTGATCGTACCTTTTAAAAATATTATTTGCAGAACTTTATATATAGTATTTCCACATCTTTGCAGTTACTATCAAACGAAAATCAGGATAAGCCTTAAATATGCTTTTATTGATTTCACTTTAGCTACATACTCAGACTTGTGCATATTTAGAAAAGATGACCAACTCTCAATGTCTTACGAGCAAAGTTTTCAGACACTGACAGCTGAAAGAGCCCCAGCAAATCTTAGCTCTCATGACCTAGAGACGCTTCATCTTTATGCCCCTCTCCTTTAAAATACTGTTGATCACTTCATGGTGTATCAGTCTGTGTTTGTGTGTATGTGTATACACACACACATCCCATCACACTCTCTCCAATCTCAAATGAAGCCTCTAGAAAATCAGAATGCTAATATACTGTTGACATAAGGATTACCTTGGTTTTTTAAAAATAATTTTAAAAATTAAAGAGTTAAAAAGCATTTTGATTCAGTTTCTGCAATCAAAATTATTTTTAAATAAAAAGCAACAACCTAACTTACAATATTTATGTAGAACATCTACTAGTTTGACAGTAACCCTGAAGCCCAGTAGAGTATACTTCCAGAAAATTAACTTAGATATATCTTATAGACACATCTTATAGAACAACTCATTTCCAAAACCACAAAAAAACAAAAAAAGAAAATAAACAAAATCCAACAAAACACAAAAAAACCACACAAAACAGAAGCTTCCTCGTCTTCCCCCTACCCCCAAACTACACCATCCTTCAACCCTACAACAACGGGTGCAAAGTAGTGACAATTCCAGAGAATGTATCTTGGAACATGAACATACCGAGACTTCAGTGGAAAACTAGTAATTCCTTTAGATCCATATAAACACCACGCTAAATAACTGACCTATGTAATGACACACCATAGTGTCATATGATAGAGACTGAGAACAGACAGACAAAGTGTAAAAAAGTTATAAACCAAGTCTTTCATTTTTGGTAACTGCTCCGAGTTAAAATGCACTTTACCATTAACAGAATGATTGATATCTGTCTTTTTTTAATGCTAACTCTCTCACACATTGTAAAACCTTAAAAAAAGCATATCGGATAGAATCGTAAGTGTTAGGTATAAAGGTAATAAAGAAACCTTTTGCAATGAGTTTTATGTACGCAGTTACCTCTGCGCCCAAATAAGACAACACAGACACTACACAGATATACACCTGAAAAATGAGTATGTATTTAACACTGTCAAAAGGAATAGAAGAATCTAGATTTAATGTCCTAGTTGCACTTCTCCGGTCATCTCTACCACAGCAAATGTTACCCCTTTTTTGCAACAAGTCTGGGATACTGACAGTACAACAAAAAAGCAGCTTTCACTGAACTAGTATAACTGCATGCATGCATAATGTATGCATGAATAAGTTCATAGTTTTGATAAACAATTTTTCAACTTTCTCAGTATTTCCTTCTTTAAATTGTCTTCACTGCTTTCCAGTAGAAAGCAATTTGCTTATACGTTGCAAAAAAAAAAAAAAAAAAAGTGCAAAAGCGCTTTAATTATTGGATAAAAATTACAAAAGCATAAAAAAAAATATGTTCTTGCAGGTTCTTACTAAAAACCTGTTGCTTAGAATTGCACTGAACTGAGGTAGTCTCTTATATCCAACTGGCACGTGGAAGAAGTCTTAACGCGGGCATTAAAAGGAAAGATTTGAGGAAGTTTACCAGACTTTTCTAGCAACTTGTGCAGAATAAAATTTGCATTTCAGAATACGGATTACACACACGAACAGTTTTTGTTAACTTTTTTTTAAAGAAAGTTACGTGAGAACTATATAATAGGTATCTATCATATATAACATCTTTTATTTCATACACAATTTCTATTAATTGTGCGTATGAAAGTTAGCTCTGAACGTGATTAAGTTATATAAATATACAGGTTAGGTAGGGTTTTTTTTTGCGTTTTGCATTCAGGAAGCCAATTTTTTTCCCCTCTATTAAATGGTTGTCTCCTTTTAGCGGTAAGTTTTACGTTCATCACACAACACTGTGTAATTAATAAAAAAAAGTGGTGCATTCAAACTTGTTACATTTCTAGCCTTTTTACGTACAAGTCTTTCATCTTGAAATTAATACTGTTTACTATCTCCTCTATTAAAATTCAAACATTTTGTTCATACTGAGTAGGCTCATGAATACAGATAAGATTTACCATCGAAAACATTTACCTTGCAAAATACTCTTACAAATCAGTGTTTCTCTTTTTGCCAATTAGTTTTAAGCCAAAACCAAAGGCATATAAACAGCATATGTGAAAACCTAACTCAACATCTATTTTTAAAGAAGTGAAAGAATAGCAACTGAATCTACAGTATCGCCTCCTGACTGAGAATCTTACATCTGAGGAACTGTGCCCATTTTCTAAGTCTTCAGGAGGCCTCGCAGTTTCTTCCAACGCATGCCTGGTACGGTAATTGTGCTGGTTAGCTTGCTGCTTTCTTGATTCACTAGCATCTAGTAAATGATCATGAGAATGGTTCTGTGAAAACATAAAAGTCAAAATAGGTCACTTTTGAGTATACATTTCATTAATATCAATTTGATTTTAGATTAGCATCCTGTTTAACAATAGCATTCCAAAAAGTAACTTTTGCAGTAGCAGAAAGATACACATTCTAATATTAGAAAGTTCACAACAAGGCCACAAGTCCAAAACTAGAGAGCAGTAGAGCAAAAATCCCCACATACATAGTTTAATATGAGCACCAAGCAGCTCAGTACATTCCCCCCCCCCGCCCCCCCCCAAAAAAAATCCTTCTGTACAGCTATAATAGGAAATTCTTACCCTGAATTATTAAAATTCTTCATTCTTTACAGTGCAATGTACACAGACTGTTAACTGCTGGGCTTCTAAGAGCTTGTAACAGCTCAAAATTACACTAATAAAAATGGCTCAGAGGGAACGGGAATTATACTCAAGAGGTTAAAGGATAAGACAACTTTCCCAGTAAAAGTTAATAAGCCTTTGTAAGCTAGAGCTTACCAATTTATCTATACGTATTGTAATAAATTAATGAAGTATGTTTTTTGTTGGAAATCTATTTAAAAGAATCAAAACAAAAACGTTTTCTCCAGGTCGATATTTTAAGTGCTTCGGACTTGGGGAAAGCTCTGCTAAGCTTATGCTCTCCAGCTGTACGTTTTTAGCAAGCCAAGAAGCTACCTCACTTAAATTTAGTGCTTAGTGCTCTTTTATGCTATACAGCTCCACAGTCGCTGTAGCACCAGGATTTTAGAAGACTGCCCTTCTATGGATGCAAAACCAGCTATACATACACAAAGTTTAAAATTTCCTCTCCACTACTATAGAACGACAACGTGATACACACCAACTACATGAAGTATCATACGGAATTCACACGGTATACATGGAGTACAACTTATGCCTGAATTTCCAGCTTTTAAGAATTGACCAGTGCATGACCAGAAGACCAGACAGACAGCAACCCAAAATAAAGTTCCAGTAAGCTCCTATTAGCCTCAACACTTTCACGTTGGTAGCTGAACACAAACCAACTCGCAGATCTTGCAGGTACTGCATTTCAGTTGCACTTGAAGTAGTAGCATACTGTTACGTTTACTTTCCTTCAGACGACACACAGGAGAAACAACATGCAAGTGTGCCATTCTGCGCAACAGAAACGGATGTTTTTAAAATCTAACACTTAACTTACAGAGAACTCCAGCATGTGTTATTTTGTGACTGGAGAGTCAGATCTGCTAAAAGAGATCCATACAGGCGCACATCCCTTAGCAGACAGAGATGATGGTTACCAAGAAAAGGCCTTTAAATGGTTAAGGTGATGCACGGAAGAGTTCAAATGGATTAAAGCCAAACGTAAAGAATTTGAGTTCCTATAAAGCTTAAAATACTGAAATAAGGCTATGATTGAGAAATGCTTCACACTCCAGTATAAAGAGATCTTGTTCCGCCTGTAGGAAATGTTATTTAATGCAGTAACTTGCTCTTAACACTGAGTCTGTAGCTCTGTATTAGACCGCTGTCAAAAAGTGCTTCAGATCTTCATTTCCAGAGTTTTGTTCAGATTTTTTTTTTTGGGCACCCATACTTGAACTTCTGTCTTAGCGCAGATCTGAAGACAGTTTCTATACACTCTTCTAGATGCCACAAAAAGAGGTAGCCTTCCCCAGTGTTCTCCCTTCCTTAAAAGCCATTCAGATACATATTAAGTGCTGACGTGGTTGAAAATCTGGTCTCAGGAACGAAGCAAGTGTAACTAGAAGGAAATACAGTAAGGTACTAATATTATCAGAGCCTTCTGGTAGGACAGACTGCTACCTATTCCCTTTGGATCTTTTCTTCTGGAAAAAAGAGAAGATTCTGCTTCTCCTGTATGATGGAAGGAAGTTTGGTTCATGATTGGGATCTTAAATTTTCTCATTAAGAACAAAACACACTTTCTGGCCAAAACTGTACTGGAACTCGGCTAAGTGGCTGTAGCTAAGATTTGGCTTTCCTCAGCCACAACAACTTTTTTTCCCTTACATATGCAGAACTGATAGCCGGAGGTTTTTTTCTACCCTCCATGTTAGAAGACAAGAAACCTTTTGGAGAGATGACTGCAACTGCTCACAGACCAGCACACTGATGTTATGCATCTGTATGATTACACTACAGTTTTCACCTAAGCGGATAAGACCAGGACAAATTGCTCTACGCTCTGTCAACGTTAACTTTTTATTTCATTTGCTCTGTCCATTGAATTAAGTTGGGGGAGCTAATGTCTGATCTTCCCAGAGGGCACTGATTTTCAGTAGGGCTACCAGAAGACACTTCTAAAGGAATGACTTAGGAATCAGCATTTTAAGGTCGGTATTGCCCAGACTTTTGAAGACTAAGGCATTCCTTTTTCCGGAAGCAACTGGCAGCACATACTAGATCTCCGCAAGCTGCTTTGACCTTACTCAGCACAGCAGTGAGGCAGCTCCAAGATTAGGGACTAAGTCCGTTACACAGCACATTCGGCCCCTTAGCTTTTTGGGGCTACCTGATTCTTGTCAAACTGTCAAGATCAATTGCTGAAGCCGCCAGACGGGTAACACAGGCCAATGTTACAGCAACACACTTCTGCTGCTTTCACAAAACACCTATGGGGAATAACTACTTTACACAAAGTCCAGCTATCTGTTAGCATCATGAAACAGGGTACGAGAAAGCAAGGACAACAGAAATGGGATCACACAGGCCCAGTGAAACAACTGAGTCAAGTACCCTTTATATTAATAAAGGGCACATTTTGCAGAAGATGCATTATATCCTGATTAGACAAGCTTATTTGCCTTATCTCTCTGGAAATAAAACCTCTAAATGTTTACACTCCCATTTCTATCTAGAGGCAAAATTTCTCAGTTGGGTACTGTGACTATCGCCCTTCTCCCTATTTATACTGAAACTATGGATCCTTGGAAAACAGACATGCTCTGTATCGCTTTTTGGTTTTCGAAAAAGTTCCTCTCTTTTGGCAGTTCAGAGGTTGACAAAAATCAATTAAAATAAATAAATAAACAATCTTTCCTTCATGGAAGCACCTATCAAAACAGTAACAGGCTGCTTTGGGAATGATCTAGTACCAAAAGGAAAAAAAAGTGCAAGAAGTCATCTGTAAATAATTAAAAGGGACTGTAAGGTATACTTATTGTACATCTTGCCAAAAAATGTATTTTAACATCACTCCTACTCAACACAGCACTGCCAAAACCTGTTGAAAAGTTCCAGGTCAAGCGTTCTTATTTAGGCATTTGGTACTGTGTGAGTGAAGGTTTCACTAGAAAGAGAAGTTATTACATGCTTTTTCCAGCTAAAATGGAATCTATCACCAAGACTTGCAGCAACAACAGAGGAAACAGCTGACAGTCCTCCTTTTACAATATATATCATAGAGAAAAAGCTTGAAATTCGACTCTGAACTCTACAGGGAGGCTTGGAAATAAAGCCAAGATCATCACTGATTTGAGTTTCAAGCATCACTTTCTCTCTCTCTGTAGCTATACTTTGATGAACAGTTACACATGCGGCATATATGCAAGTGGTTTTTTATCATATCCAAGACTTTCATTCAATATCAGAGTTCATCCATGACACATTAGAAATTACAGCTGCTGCCAGAACTGTTTTTCTGAGAAATATAAATAGTGACATTTCCTGTATTTAAGAGGGATAGGTTTACACGGGTCATCTGGACACAGCTGGGAGGCTTTTCAACACCATTTATGAAAGACCCGTAGACTCAGTGGAAACTGTCAGTGGTGTCCTGACAACGTCCAAGTTTGAACACTGCATTCTACTAAGACTAGGACTCCATCAGGAAGCAAAGTTTTGCTTTTATACAGGGTTGTAGTAATTTTTAAGACCTTTGGCTATAATAATTTCACATTGTTTCTTCATCAGCTGTTTCTGTTCTCGATTTGAAAAATGTCCCTCTTTTGTGAGGGCACTAGGGATCCATCTACACTAAAAAGTTAAACAGAGTGGGGTCACAAGCATATGCCCAGTATCAGAATGTAATCATCAACTCATGCTTACAACCTCCTAAGGACAAAGAAAGGAAACTCTCTGTAAAGCTCTGCAGATGCTTTCCCAGCATTATGCTTTCTATTTACCAGTTCGTCAGATAGCTTTTGTAATTGCTTTAATTCTTGACTAGATGCACTATTTAAATTCTTTAGCCCAGTATTTATCTCTGAACTTAATCTGTCCTTAATGAATTTCCGTTTTTTTCTAGAGAGATACTTTTTTCTAGAGATACTTTTGTGTTAGTGAGATCTTTAATAACTTCCTTTATCTAAAATTAAACTCTAATAACTAAGTTCTCTCCAGATGACAAATTTAACAAATCCCCCAAACTGCTAATACATACAACAGTTATTACTTCCTATTCTGCTAAAATACCTCTCTCCATATTGTCCTAAAGTATAGATCTGTGCTTATAATTACTTAGTTCTTACTCTTACCATCACATACAGGTAAGAGATTAGTGTAAGCTATTGCAAAAGAAATGAAGACAATAGACAAAAAGCAGCAAGCGCTTAGCAGTAAGTGCTTCTAGGTTTTAAATCTTTTTACTCTTAACATCTTGCCAACTTACCTGGAAGTAAAGTAAAACCTTTAAATTAAGGAGACTAAAAATTTCTCTTCTGGGGAGAATATTTCGAAGTCATCTATTATGAGTAATTGCCAAAGTAATTGCCAAAAACCAAGATGCTGGACTAGAGCACCAGCTCATCTGCTCTGCTATTTTTATGTCCTAGTGATATTTTAGGAAAACTATAACCCAGTTAGAAATTCAAGAGTAAGCTGGTAGGAATGCATGGAGCAGGAAGGATCATTGGACTGCATGTGGTAGCTAGAGAAAAGGAGGGGAAAAAAAATATATCGAGTAGTGCAACAGTCCAAGTAAATTTAAAGAAAGCCTATGAATCAGAACCAAAACACATCCCTTCAAGTATAGAGTTACTAAATACCATGATGCCCTTGTAACCCATTCATGGGCCTTATCATGGCTGCCTCCAAACCCTTGAAGGACAAAGGGCTTCTTCCAATGTATAAAAACTGGCAGACACACCAAAAAAAAAAAATTTTCACCTGTTCTTAGCCAAATACACTTACTTAATGGAGACAGCAGCACCAAACAAGTGTACCATTTCCTAAGATAGTAATGCAACAGAACTTTAATGAGACTCATTTAAAAAAAAGACTGAAAATGATGGGTTGTTGGGGGGGGGGGGGGGGGAGGTTACTTTCACTTTTGTTGAAAGCTTTACTTGGCTTGAATGCCAAAAAAGAAACTAAACTTAATTTACGTGCTCAGTTTTGCAACTGCAGAAATATGTTCAACTCTAATTTGTTTTTACTGCATATAAAATTCATTCATCATTATTAATAAAAATTACAGGAGCACTACTCAGCATCTGAAATTTACTTACTTTCAGATGGCTTTCAATCTCGGTCCTTTTCTTCTCAAGGACCTGAATAATATATGGTACAAGCATTAGGTATGTTACTTGGACAAAATTAACAGTTGTAGAGTCTTTTTTATACTTGTTCTTTAATTTCTTTTGCAAAATATGTTTTACTTATTTTTCTACCTTGATTTTTACTGTTTTCAACGGATAATTTGCAGGCTTGTATTTTATTAATTTTCACCCTTTTAATTAAGGGTGAAACTGTCTGATCTAGAGTACGATAACAGTACTACAAAAGTACTACGAAACCCAAAGCAGCTCAGTTTTACTAAGTTACTAATAATCCCTTCTCCTTTACAACTGCTGTAACACTTACTTCTTTAATTACAAAATGTTGGTGGGTTTAGCTAGGAAAGCAAAGAGAAGTATGTGAGATGTACAAATAAAACCCTGATTTCTAATTACAAATACGCGTAAGTTGTACAAGAACATCAAGTGAATTATGATAAGTCTCATTTTTAATACAAATCATTTCTTCCTATAGTTTTCATCTATCCAGTTTCTGTCTCTCCTGAGACAAACGTACTGGTGGCTCCAGTAAAAAAAAAAAAAAAAAAAAAAAGGCTTAAAAAAATCCCCATAAAACAGCACTAAAATTATGAAGGTACTGTGATAGAAAATATCTGATTCTTTATTCATGATGGGCTATGTGCGTAAGTGTGTTGAAGTTAAAGACTATGACTTTAGTTTTAAACAAACCCTTTCCACAGAACGCTTTATGTCAAATAGTAAAAACAGTAGCAGGATATATTAGTCAATAGTGACAGATTCCCAACAGCGATTCCCCAACAGTCCCCAACACCAGATTTACAAGGCTTCTCACTTAAGGACTTCTAAAAGTAATCTCAGCTGCTTATTTAGAACATAGTTAAAGATCAACAGAGACATACTTCCTCATTCTGGGAAGGTACACACACACTCCTCTGTCCCTATTTTTTAAATTTAAAACTAAGAAGAGTAATGTAAACTCATGAGGCCTAACACACTGAATTAAATTTTATGGTTCTTGCTGTAATAAAGTACAAGTGGCTATTTACCTTAGAGAAAGTAGGTATTTTGTTGTCTCTTTGAACATGACTCATTACATGCTTTCTTTTCTCTTCTGACCGGTAAACTCTTATTTCTTCTTCTCCCTTTGCTGTTCTCCATTCTTCCTGCCTACTGGAAAAATAGAATTGAGATGTTAACTTCAAAGCAAAATATTACAGCTGAGAATATCTCTTCCAATCCTGGAAAAAATGTTCAATATTTATTTATAATATTCTCTGAGTAGTAATTTCCCTCTTTAGAGTCAGAACCTAGCTTCAAAGTTATCCTTTCTGAACACAGTAAAATTTAAAATGGCAAGTACTGAGTATCTCCTACGTTGTATTTTAAGGACATCCATTTGACTTAACTATCCCCAAATCTATGATTCTCAATTCAAAAAAATCAAGATTCTTGAAAAGTGGCCCCACAATATCTGAAGTAAAGCTGAAAAGCGCAACTGAAAAGTACTCTCTCGGTTGTTTACAAGATAACAGTTTCTAAATCCAAAGGACACCTGCGTTTGTATGCCAGCACAGTGACTTGGGACAGCAGTTATCTCACCTTGAAAAGATTTTCAAAATTTTAAACACGCAAAAAGCCTTTGGTTATTTAATAATTTCAATCTCATTTCAGAAAGCTAAAGCAGTTTACTTTTATTAGTAAGGTAAAAAATCTCTACTTGCCACACTCAGGAATGTATTTGTCACAAGATTTTATTACCGAAAGAAATAAAAGTACTGCAGGTTTGGAAATAAAAATTCATCTCAGGCACATGCTGGATTAGCTCAACGTCCCCGACCTATGCTAACAATCAGAACAAATATAGGCGGTCAGATCCCAATGCATACACAAGTTAAATTACTCATCTGCTGTATCAGCATTTTTTAATACATAACACTTCCATGATTCCAAGACTTTCAAATGACATGAAAACAACAGTTGGTTTCAAACTGAAACTGATTTTAAGAATTATAAGACCACAGAACAGATAAATATTATACCATCTGTTCTGTAAGAATGTGAATGCCAAAACTGTTCAATTAAAACTGTATCAAATTAAACTCCACAGCAAATTTGGAAGACCTCTGTTTACCTGGCCACCCCAGAAGAAAGCTCAGGCACTACAACCCTTCGACTCCAAGCCACAAGGTCCCGCTCAGTGGCTATTTCACTTCTTGGTGCGTTGCTGTGCATCTGACGCACACCTTCAATTTGTCCACTACGTCGTAATCCTATATTTGGTGGTGAGTGTACTTCTGAGGTAGAGCTTATAGATCCTGAAAAGTCAAGAAGTCATAACTGTCTTTGATCTAAAACTCTACACACGAAATGAAAGAAAAAAGAACAAATATCTATTACTTGAGAAGGAAAGTATTTATCGCAACTGTCCTGTTCAATTATTTCTGTAGTTTCCAAAATCTGAACTTCTTACACATCTATGGGGCTGCAGTACTGTTTAAAAATTCATATTGAAGAGGAACTGAGACATCAATACTCTGAAGTAAAGCAAATGTTTCACTGGTTCACTGTTCTTTAAAATCACTTCTGAAAACGTGGACAAAAAGCTGACTATTGCTACTGCACCTGCAGATCCATTTTATGAAATGCTGAGCTATCTCACTGAATCTGGATATTCCTTAAACACAAAGTCCACTACCTTCAAAAAAATGAAGCCACAACACTGGAAATTATTAGGAATCCAAGCTGTAAAATTTACTAACAATAAACTGAAATGGTCCCTACTCTGAAAAAAAAATTCAACGTTTCCACATCCTTCCACACACATAAGGTCTTCTTGCCCACTCAGGTGGGTTTACCACCACGCATTTTTTTGACGTTGAAGTTTACCTCGAAATCTACTGCGAGACATTGATAAGTGAAACAGTGGCACAAAGAAACAAGAAGCTCTTTCCTTTTTTCTCCCTTCTATTTCTCTGATTATTTGTCACAATTCAGACTCCCATCAATTACAGGGCCAGCTCTAGACTGAACAGCCGCACACTTGTTATCGCTAAAGGAACACAGTTGCCCCAAGTTCCTTAAGGGGGCGTACAACAGCTATTGCAAATTTGTAATGTTAATAATTCAGAGACTAATAACTCTTTTTTTTGCGAAAGACAAAAAAAAGATGGGAAAGTTGTACTATTTTCCATGGCTCCATACCTCCTTTCTAGCAGTTCAACAAAACGCACATATCACGCACAATAATACGTCATTTACATTTTCCGACTGTTACATGTTTCAATAGGTAAAAGCAAAACAAAAAAATCAAACAGTAATTTACCTCTGCTTATCCGGCTGGTACTACTAGTTCCTGCCTCCCCAGACCGTCTCTGATCCTGTTCTTGCTGAAGTCTTTGAATCATGCTATCCAGTGGACTAACTTCTTGATTTGCTTGTTGACTAAGAACTTGATTCAATCCTGTGAAGTAAAATACCAAGAGAACACCACATAAATGTTGATTTGAGGAGCCAAATACTACAAACTGGCTATCTAAATTTTAGCTTTGATATTTAGAACAGTATATAGTCACAAGTTTAAGAATGGGCTAATTCCTACTTTAAGAATCTCATTTTTTAAACCAGAAAACTTTTGTCTTAATATTAACAGCATTAAATTTCCTGGGGCAGGGTCAAGATGATCACATGCCACTCCTAAAAAAGGTTTAAATTTTATCAAGTATCACCAAGTCACAGAAGACCCATTTGTCAGCTGAGTTAATATAAATTGTCTTACCTTGTCCCAAATGCACTATAAAGCACGTTAGCATAAACCTCAATGAAAGAGCTACATAAAGGATGTCTAATTGAAAGAGAATAGCATTATCTACAGTAGGGAACTGGCAAGCAGTAAGAATGTCTGAGCGCCACATAGGCATTACGATAACACAGGTAAGCAATGCTAATTTTCTTTGATGTGTAGAATAGCCATGAAACCTCTTTGGGTAGATCTCTTAACAGGAGATAGTTCTATTTGAAAGGATTAAAAGGTGATAACATTATTTCAGTGCAGCAAACAAAAACCATAGCATGTAAGCATAAACAATGCAAAACTTTTCTTAGCCACAATGGTCACAAAAGATTAGACAGATACAGAGAAAAAGGCAAGGGTTACAGGGCCGATTTGAAAAAGAAGTCAAATACCTCAACACAGAATCTGTGACGAATGGAGAAGCAAGAAACTTGTGAAGAGAAGCAAGTTGCATACATTTGTTGAGACAGAGAAAAGGAAACTTGCAAAACTTTGTAATGAGGGATGACAATGTTCAAAGAAATAATCTACAAAAAATATTTTCCCAGAGTCATTCCAAAGAGATACCACAGTGCAAGACTGCACTTATCGAGATCAAATACAAGACACTACCGTAACTGTGCTATGAAATAAAGAGCTGTGATTATGTGCATAGACAGAAACAGCCATTTCTTAACGGATGATGTTATGCAGAAAGAATATACATAGTTAAAGATAGTGCTCTTAGGTTTTCAAGGCTAATTCAGCTGAAGCCCACTTCCCCAAAGCTTAGAATCTCAGAATGAGATCTGCTACAATCACAGATAGGTTTTCTGACTGATGTGTAGCAAGGCAGACAGATTTATTTGGTGAACTCATGAGCAGGGGCACCGTCTCCTGCAAACAACATGAAATTCTACAAATAGCCCAGGAATGCAATTTAAATAAAAACCACCCTACTCAAACAAAATAAATATTTTTCATATTTCTAGTTTGTAAAGTTTGCCTTCCTAAATAAAAATAAGTTAAAATAGTAAAAGGAAAGAAATTGGTGCATATTTGAAACTTTCAATATATCTGGTTAAAAGGCGCTTAATCTAACATATAAACAGTAAATCAAGCATGACTGGCTGAATTTTCCTTACTCTTATAAGGAAGAGAAAAAAATATTTAAGAATATAGAAAAATACTTGGGTGAGGGGGAAAATGTCACAGGTCTAAGGGAGGTCAAATCCTATAATAAATTTCCAGAAAGCAAGGGGCTTCCTTAGTGAAAGGAGAAAATACAAAATACATGAACACAGTGTAGGTTTGGGTAAGACTGCATATACTGTTGCTAAATTGTAGAGTACGAAAACATCTTCCGTCTCTCCCAAACCTTCCTGGCTTTCTGTCAGTCTGGTTGATGGCTTCTGGCTATGAAGCAAAACACTACGGACATTATCTTCCCATAGGCCTTCATCTGTCATGCAGACACATCATTAGATTTGTTTGGTTGGTTTTAAAGGTCTGACTTATTTCAAAATATTACAATACAAAACGTGTCCAGGACATTTTCTGATTTAGAGATTACAAGAACGTCATAGCTCCATGTAACAATAGGCAAACTCACTGGAACCCTAATTTAGCTTCAAAATCACTGGCTAAAATGCTGGACATCAAGCATGGCAGACACTAACTAAAGGATTTATTCCTTCTTACAAGTGCTACTTAGGTAGCTTTTATCTACAATTTTGGAAGACTTGTTAAAACACTTTTTAAAAAATTATTATTTAGATATTCAGTGGCTTGCTATCCTCATCTGTAGACCTGAGGATAAAGAGATCTCTCGGGCAAAATGATCCTGCATTTTATGGCCCTTCTGACAAAAGATGATCCTTGGAACATCTTCATGTTTTGTTCTCTCGGGCTATCAACTGTAAGAAATTTGTGAAACGGTCTTTTGTTAAGAAACAAAACTTCACTCAACTTTCCCAAAATGTCTGACACACTGTAGATTTAAGTATGGCATATATAAGCCACTATTTACAGGCACAGCCAGTTTTCCCCAGATTTTCAAGAATATCCAGATACTTAGCAATCCCTATCCTGGAAACTTTTAAAGCTACTGTCACCAGCCACCATTTGGTCATTCACACTAATGCTGAACTAGTAAAACACAATAAGTAGGTGGAGATTTTAAAACGATGCCTATCTGTACCACATTTAAGCAATTTCCAGGAGCTGTTGCCCCAACGTGTGTTCTCCACATGCACGGCATGCAAGGAATAAGTTCAGAGTAACATCCCAGGTTTCTGTACCCTCATTAAATCTTGAGAGATCTTTAAATGAAAGATCAAAGCTCAAGTCCTCAAGAACAGGAAGGTTTGACAGAAGCTGTCAGATGTCCTCCCAGTTTCCTTTTCTTGTAGCCGTTACCCAAAAAGGTGTGGAAGATCAGTCTATTTCCTAGGTTTTCTGAAGTAGGAAGTCTTACCCCAAAAAGATCAAATGAAAGCTCACTCAGCATCTTACACTGTTTCAATAATGAAATGAACAGCTCCAAGCCAACTGGCATTGTAGCCTTAGCTAGCATTAACTTGAGCGATGACAGTGCTGTAAGTGAAACAGGCTGTCACAAGCAATGAGCACCAAGCAACTCTTACCTGCTACATGAATTCTTATTACCAAAGATGAAGAAAAAGTACACAGTGAGAGGGAAGGGGTAGAGGTACCACATAGGCTACTGTGTACTGAACTGAAATTTTCCATACCTGAAGATGTTACTCCCATCTGAGGGATAAGCTGCTCCTCCCTGCAGTTCTCACGACCAGGAACTAGTCTTTGATACCTTGCAGGATGAGGGTTGCCATCCACATCAACCAAAAATGGAGGAGGCATAAGGTGTGGAGCCTGCTGTGTCTGCTCATCCAGGACAAAGTTGTTGGCATCACGGATAAGGGGCCGATAATCGCTATGAAAGAACATCTGATCTGCTATCTGTAAACAAAGTAATTTTGTAATTTTTAAAGAACCTATAAAAAAAGCATAAAAAACATATCTGCCAAAGTATTCTTTACAGTGGTGGTCACTTTTATAGAACAACGTTATAAGCTGATCTTTAAAGGAGAAAATTTAACGGGTCTGTGTTTTTTTCCAGCACTCATTTTCTGTACTATACTACAAGGAGAATAATCCAGAGGCTTGAGGGTGGGAAGCGTTTAAAGAACAGGGGAATGAGGGAATGTTTAACAACGTGCAGTTATTTGACACAGCACAGATACGTTAACAGGTTACAAATTACGATGTATATACACCTGATAATGAAAACTGTATCACAGACTTCTAAGAGCCTCTGATGTGGGAAGAAGAATAGGAAAATATTTATCACATCACTCATAGTTCATCACCTAGTATTTTCATCACAAGCATACCTATTCTTACTATAATGCTAGATACTTGAAAAAGTTTCAGTAGATAAAATAAATGATCAAAAGTTGAATTCTTCAGATTCAAAGGTTTGTTTTTAATTTCAGACCACTCCCTCGCAATTTATTCTAGGTGACTGCCACAGGCACTCAGGACTGAGGAATTCTTTCGTCCAACGAATATATACAAAGGCTTATGCTCCACCTCCTCGCTGGCACATGTATCTCAACGTTGTGCCATCAGAGAGGTATCGGACTACAAAGAGGAAAGAGAAAGCACACAGCAGGCAAAATGACAGCTAAACTACACACATCCCAACACTACTCACTGGAAAGTAAATCCCTTTGACTGACAGTTCACGTAGGTAGCTTAGCTTCAAACAAATAAAAATAATACACTACACAATCATAATTAACTGGAAGTAGATTTCCAGTGCAGCATAAATATGGTTAAACAATTGATCAAAGGTGTAAACAGATCTCCAAATGATCTCGTCATAGGGGTGAAAGACAGATGTTTGAGCATGAATACAGAAATACCTGAGTTCTGCTAGTATCCTCCATCCTAACCAATTGGTAACAATCTTCTGCAACTTGTTATTCAGAAATCAGTAAGATGGACACGACTGTGTCATTGAGATCAGACCTCAGGGCACAATACAAATGCTAAGTTCCCCTGTCCTGGATGTGAGATGACCAGGAAGGAAAGATGACAATAAACATCTCTCTGATACGACATCAAAAAGAAATATGAAGTGCCTACATGCATTCACGTGACATGAATAAAAATACAGGAATCATCTGTCACATAGGCTCTGGACCCTATGTAAATTCAAAAAAGTAGCACCTGCAAGAAAACTGGAAAGACGCACAGGGAGATGCAATAGCAAAGATTTTACTTCTGGGATTGAAACAGCTACTCTTACTGAACACAAATGGAGAAGATCACATCCTGCTGCAGTAAGGAGGCCCTCACTGTTAGAGGTATTGTTGACAGGTTCTTTGTTAACTTGAGAGAATGAATGAAAAAGATAATAAGCACTCTCACGAGGGGAGCATCATGTTTCATCAACAGAAACTTCCTCAACAGAAACCTTGTTTCATCAAGGCCAGATTAACAACTTTGTTCCTTCAGCCCAAATAGCTGGCTCAATACAATGAAGAACAGTCCTCTAGAAGGACTTGAGATTCTTGCCTGTAATCGTAACAGTAGAATATCTAGACCTTTCATCTAGTGCAATCTTCCTACTACTATTATGTACTTCCCACAGTGGAAAAAGAAGTAGTTCCAATGGCATGGCCGTGCAACAGCTGTGAGTTTTAATGTCCTGCGACTTGGCTGTACAATGCTCTCTGCATCCCACATTATCAGGTTTTGTAAGCAAGATCTCAGATTCAGAGTCCTCCTACCAGAACAGTCTTTTGTGCAAGATCTGGGGGTGGGGGGACCTCTCTACTTTTACCTTTAAGCGTACTCTCTACTGCAAGCAAGTATTGTACAGAAAGTAAATGACAATTTTCCACTCCGTGAGGTAAGAACAGCGTTTAACAAAGATTCCAGGCTCAGACCAGCTCTGAGCAGAACGCTGAAGAGCTCCTGCTGGAACCTGGGGCTCAGAGATACAGTCCAACGTAAGATCTTATCCTCGGGCCCCAGGTCCTTTGGGGCAAATTAGGGAACCTTAAATAGCCATGTTCAGTTGCTCACATGTTCAGCAGACAACCCGAACCTGTTAAGAGTACTAACAGGCAGACCCTACTATTCCACTTTTAGCGGTCAATTTCATGACAAAAAACAAGATACTACACCACCGTAAAAGTGTCCTGTACATATGACATCTCAAACTCAACTTTGGTGCTGGTGGGAAAGCTTTTGACACAGACCTGAGCTCTAGGAGATAGCCCGGAAGGTTCTTTCCTTTAGCAGTTATACATTCTGAACCCTCAGTTTCTCCAAATAGGTAAACTTGTATAAATGCAAAGAGACTTTCCCCGCTACTGCATCGACATGTGGCACAGGAGCTGTCAACTTGCAGCAAGGAACAGTGGTTTGGGTAGTCTAAAGGAACTTAGGCCTTGGAAGGCTCTCAGCTAGACTCGTCACCTTGAGCAAAACTTGCAAACGCAGGAGTGTAAGACAAGTGTCAAGGTTATCACACTTCTTTCTCCTGAGGAAATCATTCCTCACAATGGATGGAAACCATTTTAAAGTCAAAAACATATGCCCTATCAGAGCATATTCTCATAAGAGGTCTAAATAAAACAAGCAGGGGGGGGGGGGGGGGGGAAGGGGAGGACAGGAGGGGACAGAAAACACAACACTGACTCTTCAGCACCCACCTATCTTTAGTTATATTTTTCCACAAAGCAAGTCAGACAAAAATGAAAGGAGATGGAATGAGACAAGAAAAAGATCTATAATTTCTGAGATGAGTTTTCTGAGAGTTAAAAAGTGTTTAAAGAAAAAAAAAAAAGTAAATTCTATTTCTTCCCATTTTTTCTACGGTCAGTAACAGCAAGAATACTGTGGCACAGTTATAGCTGGAGAAGATCATTTTATATCACCTGATAAGTGAAATATTTGAAATAATCTCTTCTCAAGGGCTGTAGAGAAAATCCCAAGAGGATAAAGGGTCTCTGAAGTTTAAGTGAAAAACAACACTGTTTTCCTTCTTCAAAAAGATCTAATCCCTCAAAAGTTAATTCATCAAATGACAGTGTAAAGGAAACTTGGTCTACCACAAAACCAAAAAGGTTCTTCATATCACACCCATTTGCAACATTTCTAACTGCAGAGGACTACAAAATTCCAAAACGTTTAGAGAGGAAAAGGAAACTTGGAACAATCCATGAACTCTGGTGAGAGAAACGTTTCCACCACAATAGGCCTTAAAATCTGGAAGAGTAGGAACTCTGAAAGGCCTTGAAACCCATCTTCTGGTAATCCTGGTTTGCATTGCTTGTGTTGTCTCTACTCCTGCGTATTTTCCTTTCCATTCCAAAGAAAATAAACAGGTGCATTGAACTACAGTAACAGTTGAGGGATAGCAACCAGTCAAGCACTAAGTACTTCAAATAATAGCTGAAAAACAGGAAAAAAAAATCCCCAGTATTGAGCACTGCTGTTACTAGCATCAAGATAAGAACTGAGAGATTGCAGACAGAAACGCAACGGTTTACAAGGCAAAAGATTAAAATTCCTTTTGTTTTATGTCTTTCAGACCCATGTGTTGTTTGACAAGGTGCTCTGAAGACTGGCCTAAGTCCAAAGATACAAAGCAGAAGGCAGGATGCAGAGACCAGCACTTCACCAACAATCTTCAAGCATCAGGTACCAGCGGCAGAGATGAAAGTCCTTGAGCAGATATGTCTAGGAACATATGTCTTAGGTCTTAGAAAGGCAGAGAAGAGACATACATCACCTTTTCCCTGGGTGATAAAAGGAGAACAGGGGCCTTGCGGACACTCCAAACTAGGTAAACTGTACAGTTCATAGGGCATGCTTATCAACCATGGGGGTAGAAGAAAGAAAACAAATCTTTCCAGTCATGAGGGTCTGCGGCAAGCCACTCAAACTTAGAATACACAATGGTCACTACGATAGCAGGATAAAGACAGAATATTTTCATTTCACATTGCTGTGCAAGCACCATGGCATCCATGCTTGCAGAATTACATAAGCAGACATAGAACTGTACCACCGGAATGCACAGTACCTCTACTGTAAATAACTGTCTCCCACGTTATGTAATGTTTAAAAAAAAGTTAGAATTAGTTTTATTACCATGTCCCCATCCTGCCCCACCCCCCCTTTTTTTTGGTCTTACTGAGAACCAGAAAAATGTTTAAAGTCAAACATTCAACTATCATCACTTTCACTTCAGTCTATTCACTTTATCCATGTTGATCCATTACTAGACATTTGTAACCCCCTCACTTGAGGGGAGATAATGATTCTCATTTTCTTGCAATTCCCATGGAAAAAAAACAATAGCTTCACTGCATGTTTCTGTAATTTAAAGAAGACAAGCCCTCAAAGAAAGCCCAGTGTCAACAAGAGGAATCTGAAACATCCCATATTAATGGCTCAAAAACACGCTGAGATACATCTTCTCAAAATGAAACTCTGAGGTATGCACAAATACTTTCAAAATAGACAAACAGTTTGGTTTTCATCTTGCACTGTACCTTGTCGTATTTGCTACTGGAACCAAAGCCAAAAATCAGAAGGTGACCGTGAGAATCGGTACATGCAAAATGCTGTCCATCAGGAGAGCACTTGCAGTCAAAAACTGCACCATGTCCTTGTCCTTCAATCTGAAATACATTAATATACAAAACAATTAAGTTACCAGAAATAAATTGTTTTAAATTATGATTCTCAAAACTGTGGTGCTGATGTTGAAGTTTATATAAAAATCAGTAAGACAGTATTCTGATAGATGGAAGTTATTTTAGTACATAGTTTACTTTTTAGCCATTCACTTTTCAGTGAATTTTGTGGTAATACTCATGAAAGATGCCAAATTGATAGCAGAAGAAACGGACAGACTTTATCCACAAAGCAGGCACAGTACAGGAAGTAACAATAAAAGCTTCCCCTTGAATGTCCTGCTGATAAGCCTAACCAGAGAGCTGGGTCCAGTTCAGGGTTTTAGTCACTACACCCTTTCACAATCCTCTGCCTTTCTGCTAAGCTAGCTTGAAAGCATTGGCTACTCTGGTGTTTCAGAACACCTGCCCACTAGAAAACGCACTGACATAGACAACCCACATTACACAACTTAGCAACTGCCTGCTTCCTGCAATTCCTACTCCTACTTTGTTGGTCTGGGGAGTTTTAGATTTGTGTAGTTTTAACTCCAGTTTTTAAAGGAGAACTGCAAAGATTTTAAAAAAGGAATTTTTACCTGATACTCATTTTCTGTTTTCCAGTTCCATTAAGCCAGAACAAATGGTTTTTGTTTTTCCCTGCAACCTGTCAATCAAGCAGAGGTGACCAATCACCACTCTGAATTTTCACGTCTTCAGCACCTCTTCAGAACGCCCCTTTCTATTCTCCCCAGTAAAGCAATTTTGCATTTTCTTTAAAGAGAGACCAAAAAAAGTTCTTTCCCT